ACTGTAGTCCAGAAGGGAATGAGATGGCATATTCTAAGTCTGGAAAGAAGATAACTGACCAAGAAAAACAAATGGAACTAGAGATCTTCATGTCAAGAGACAGAGTCAAAAAGACAACTACGTGCTGTCCTGTACAGAAGGTCCAATTAGAGGACACAGGAGATCAGCGAGAGGCAGGGAGGTGACAAGTGAGGTCAATGAAGGGTTTGTAGATAAGATCAAAGTTCATCACAGAATGCTTTAAAATGCCATAAGAAACCTGCTATTTCATATAATCATATTGTGATCATAATTTTTACATATATACAGAGATGAAAGACATGAACATAACTCTCAACCAGGATTACCCATCTAAGCTATCTGAAAAGATATAGAAACTGTAATAAACGAAAAAGCAGTAATTTCTAGGAAATAGGACTTTTTGAGTGTTTGCCTCCATGTATATGTGCTACATATGTGCCTGGTGGCCACAAAGGCCTGAAGATCAAGCTAGATCTCTTGGAACTAGTTGCAGATGGTTTTGAACAATCATGAGGATACTGGGAATAAAACTCCGGTCCCCTGATAAATCAGCAAGCGCTCTTAACCACTGAGCCATTTCTTTGGGCCCTAGAAATTCTGGATTGATGGCAGATGTCATTCTGCAAATATGTTTCTCTTATTAGGTAATGAAGCACTGTTGGCAAATAGGAAGGCAAGATAGGCAGGACTAAGAGACAAGGAGGATTCTGGGAGATGTAGTAAGGAGAGTCAAGATGTAGAGGCTTGAGGAAAGAGGTGCGGACCCTCTCTCTAGTAAGATAAGACCACATGGAAAGACTTAGATGAATAGAAATGGGTTAATATTTAAGACAGAGCTAGCTAATAAGAAACACTAATAACTGGCCAACAGCTTTATATCTAATACAGCGTCTCTGTGTGTGATTTGGGGCTGACTCAGCTATGGGACCAGGCTAGTGGGAAAACTGTTCATAACACTAAATGTTATTTTTTTTCAGATTGTGAGAAAATGTTGATTCAACAAATGCCTTTGAGACAATTTACTATCCATATGCAAAATAAAAGGAAACTCAGCCCTTGCCTCATACCTCATACATGAAATTTATGTAGAAATAGAGCAAGGTTTAACTATAATAGCTAAAAATAAAATCTTTCAAAGAAAGTATAGAGAAAAATCTTTACGGCCTTGGATTAGGTAGTATATAATAACTGGGACAATATTTATAAGTATTGGATTACAAATGTTTATTTAGAAGTTACAAAAAGCATACAAAACACATATCTGACGGGAGCTTTAGATCCTGAAGATGTAATTCTTGAACCTCATTATCTGTAACCAAAGAGAGATAGGCCAAAGGTTTGAGTAAATACTTTACCAAAGACATACAAGTGGTAAATAAAACATGAAACGATGCCCAAGCCCGTAAGTCAAAAGGGAAATGTACTTAATGCCTCAGTGAGAAGCTAGGCATAGTAACTCATGCTTGTAATTCCAGCAGTTGGGAGCCCTGGGATCCATAGTGAGTTCCAGGTCAGCCAAGGCTACAGAGTAAGATCCTGCTTCTAAAACCAAAGCCTTAGTGAAACATCACTTTTTTCTAAGAATGACTGGGAGCCTGAAAATGAAGTCAAGGAAGGGAACTCTTGTGTTTACTTCTGACAGGCCTGAAGAATACAGAAGCCACTTTGCCACACAACTTAATATCTACTACATTACAGCATGCATTTGACATGTGATAAAATTATTTCATGCCTAGGTACACAGACTGGAGAAGAGCTTTTATGTGAACATCTGTAGTAGTCTCATTCATAATTTGCAAAGCTGGAAACAGCCTGAATTATATGAAGTGTGCTTCATTCATGTAACAGAACATGCAAACTGACTAATATCACAGGGGACATTTGTAGATATTAACAGCACCAGACAGCCAAGTGTAGAAAGCGGGTTTTAAAGGCCCTGCGATTTCACCGGCAGGTCATTTCAGAGAATGCAAAACAAGAGTGACAGAAAGCACACAAGAGTTGGTGGGGGCTGGGGAATCAAGGGAAGAACTGACTGAGAAGGGGGCCCAACAACTTTTTAAAAGTATTTGGGGGGAAGAGGTGGTTTAAGACAGGGTTTCTCTGTGTAGCTCTGGCTGGCCTGTAATTCTGCAGACCAGACTAGCCTCAAATTCACAAATCCACTTGCCTCTGCCTCTGGAGTCCTGGGATGAAAGGTGTGCACCAGCACTGTGTATGTGTATTTGCATATGTCTGTGTGCATGTGAGTGAGGGTATCCACAGATACTAGAAGAGTGTGTGTGCAATATCCCATGGAGCTGAAGTTATAGGGGTTGTGACCCACTTGATGTGGGTGGGTGCTGGGGACTGAACTTGAGTCCTCTGTAAGAACAGTATACAGTCTTAACTGCTTAAGCAACTCTCTACCTCTCCCCACACCCCACACCAACAGAATTTTCTAGGATAATGGCAGTATTCTATATCTTGATTTTGGTTGGGTTTCATTACACAAAATGACCAGGTATACTATGGGCAAACATCATCAAACTATACAGTTAAGATGATGAAGGATGGTGCTGGTACCATTATGAATCTCTTAGATCCTAATCTGTGGACAGAACAGCACAGATTTATAATGTGAGAACACAGGTGTGGCATCTGACTATTTGGAAATCTAGATGGAGCCAAGTGTGAGAAACAGCAGAGATTGAAGAAGTAGAAGCCTTTGGATGGTTGGGAGTCATACTTGGGAGTGGAGATGGCAGTCAATCATACATTCTTGCTTTGGTAAAGATCAAGATTATGGATGTTTTTATAAATGAAAATGTTTGAGATAATCAGGTGTTCAGTGTAGTGGAGAAAAATGTTTGCATTACTACAAGATCTCAGACCAATAGAAATTAAAATTCCTCCAGCAGCCATTGGTTCTTATTGTTTTTCTTTCAATGCAATTAGAACCTTCTAGATATAGGAAACTCTATCAGGCCCATAGCCTAGGTGATATTCAATAGGACCTCATTGGAAGGCCATTGTTTGTAAGCAGCTGTAGATGTCAAATAAACTGTCTAATCTGAAAAGTATGTTGTTTCCCCCAAGAGAATGTACACCAGCAACTTGGCTATCTCAATGTCCTGAGCTATGTACTATAACTTTTGCACTCTTCTCTATGTTTGTTATACCTCAACCATTTCTTTTCACATTTATTGTGTGTGTTTATGCACACAGGTGTGAGTACAACAAGCACCTGTGGGGGTCAGAGGATTACTTGCTTGAGCTAATTATCTCTTTCTACCATGCAGGCTCCAAGAATTGAACCAAAGCCATCAGGCCTGGTGGCAAGCATCCTTGCCCAATAAGCCATGTCATTTCACTGTCTTCCTCAACGGCCCTTTAAAATACAACAAATGGTTTATTTTGTTAGGTTTCCTCCAAAAGACAAATCCAAACTGCTGTAGGGGAGTACATGCCAAGTTAGCAAAGGTATAAAGAGCCAACCTAGAGATCAGTTTTGAGATGTGGAAGGCCTCTGGGTGAAGTATGATCAATCTTCCCTCACCAGAGCTTCTGAGGGAGGTCTAGTTTCTGATCCTCATGGGCATATGCAAGTATTGTCATAACACAGCTAAATTATTTCTTTTTCTGCATTCACACCAAAAAAATTTACTAGATCCAAACAACGTGAATGTCTTTGAACAGGGACCTTTTAATTATAATACTAATGCCTATGTACCATTGAAAATGAGACGAATATGCTTACAAAGGTCTAGTGTTTAATTGTAACCCAAAAACGGCAAAAGCCAGAGTAGATACAGTACCAGATAGGCCATCATTCACAGACACATAATAATATAGAAAACAATATATTTTATATATTATGTATAATAGTATTTACATATATGTCTAGAAAATGTCATTAATCTGTGGGGTGGATAAGAAAGCTTTTAGATTTGCAGAGGACCAGGGCAACAAGAGATGTCACTTATTTTTGATTCTTATATAATACACGTTAGTTACTAACCAAGTGATAAAGATGGTTTTGAAAACACTTGCTTATGGCAAGGATCATTCCAAATTTTGTGCTAGGCTGCCTTTTCTGATTACTGATCAGCTGACGAAGGAATAGAGAGTCCTTATTTTAGCTGTTTGGGTTTGGGGTACTGAGGCTAAAGCCCCATTCAGCACCAATGCTAAATTTATGTTCCATCATGGAGCCATTCCTCTTAGTCTCCACAAAGAATGTTCTAAGTTTGTTTGAGCTAGGTTCTCACTATGTAGCCTGGGCTGACCTCAAACTCATGATCCTTCTGCCTTAGCCTCCTCCTTAATTCTGGGATCATGAGTGTGCTCTGCTATGTCCAACAAAGCTTTGCTGTTGGAATTTGTTGGGGATTGAACCCAGGACCTTTGATGTGCTAAGCAAGCTCTCATCTGTTGAGCCACATCCCCGGCCCTTCACAAAGACATTTAAGCAAGAATTTCACATATATGACCTGACACTGAGATAGCATAAAGGATAAAAATGAGTAGGACAGACACTCAGCCCTTATGGAAGGAGAAGCCATTGAGAAGGAGAAAGGGAAGGAGAGGTGGGTTCCATTGTCTTCCCGAGTCCATTTGTTTTCTGCTCTTCATAAATAGGATGAGGTCACAAATCTAGAAAACATATATTAAAAAAAATAAAACTAAAAAATAGCATTAAATACTTCTTTGGTAAAATGTTCAACTCCACACCTCCCCAGCTCCACACCTCCCCAGCTCTTCTGTCTTCTTTCTGTTCCTTCAATTTGGGCTTCCAAATAGGCATAGATGAAATGCTAAGTTGGCATGTGTTAGCCATGGTAAGACTCCTGCAGACGGCTCTTCTGAGGCGCTGAATTTCCGGAGCTTGGACAGGGGTATCAGAGAGCATTTGGCTCTGCAACACAAGAGTCTCTTTTTTTCTTTTTCTTTTTTCCTCTTTGGGGCTGGGGTGGGGTGGGATTTGAGGCAGGGTCCTGGAACTCACTAGGTAGACTAAGCTGGCCTCGAACTCACAGAGATCCAACTTCTTCTGCCTCCTGACTGCTGGGGTTAAAGGTGTATGCCATCATGCCTGGCACAAATGAGTTTCTAGTCCTTACTTGGGGCAAACACATTAGCACTGATGAGGTGAAAAGACAGCTAGAATGAAAACAAAAGCCTTGTCTACTGTTTATCACGATTCCAACACTTCTCTGAGGCTTTGAAACCCATTTTCTATGGGTATTCTTCCAGCTCTTCAACAATTCACGATTCACGAATCATCTTAACGGACAGAGGTTTAGAAACATGTCATTGTTGAAGTGATCCAAGCCCGCGCATGCCACCTCTTCATCAAAATCCCACTTGCTGTTCCTGCTGGGCAGTGAGTATTGCTGCTGAGGGTGGGAGCCATAGGTGAGCAGAAAGGGGTCCTGCTGAGGTGAGTGGTACGTGAGGGAAGGCACATAGCTGTTGAAATCCATAGGTACTTTCTCTTCATAAGGTTCACCTCCTGGATTGGACCACAGTGGATGACAGCCAGTTTGGGCTGCAGCTGCTTCCAGTGGAATCTGTTGGGGGAAGTGCTCCAAAGAGTTCTGGGAGGGGAAGAAGTCACAGGGCCAGCTGGACACAGGCAGAGGATAGGTGGGATAGCAGGTGTCGTCATTAGGATTTCTCCCTAAGGAAGCACTTTTATTCCAGGCTTGCAGATCGTCATAATCTGTATAGACCCCAGGGACAGGAGGCTGAAACTGGTCTTCACTGCTGTAGATCCGACTGCTGGAGAATTTGCATTTTTCGTAGAGCACAGTGGGGTCCAAGGTGGAAGTTGGGTCTTCTAGCTCAGTGGTTCCCCCCAAATCATAGCTCTTGGGGAAGGATAGGCAATCATTCAGGGAGTTCTGCTGGGAGGCGTTAGCTATTAAAGGTGTGCTGTAACTGCTGGGCAGTTGGACGCCTTCCTGGAATGACCAAGTTAAAGGTAAACTTCCCTGACTCTGTATTTCACCTGGAAGAGCCTGGAAAGGGAAATGAACACTCACGTTAATAAGTTAAGCAAATCCTTATGCAGGTTCCCCAGGGGGAAAAAAGTTAAGCAAATTCACATGGCTACCCCAAGTACCCCTGAGTTATTCTGCAAATATCCTTTGATAAGATTGCCTTCATTCCTTGCATACTTCAACCATAGGCTCAGCTTCTCCACAGCTGCTAGGAACCTGTGAGGAGAGGCTGATTCCTATTCCAGTTTATAACTTTCTAATCTGTGAAGAGCTCAATATACTTTGTGGACACACTGGATGTTTAATATGCTTCATGCTCAGATATCAGATATCTAACTGCCTTTTTGCAACATGTATAGGATGTTATCTAAACAACACGCACACACACACACACATACACACACACACACACACACACTAGACCTGGTACAATTCTCAGGGCTATCCCTCATCCCATGTTTGCCTCTTTCTTTTCCTTCTCCTGCATCTGGATTAGTCCAGTTCTTAGTGTGAGAGACCACGGTAGTGTTGGATTTATTTTTCTCCTTTAGAGACTGTTCCTTGAATTCACAGAAACTACACAGAATAGAACATAAACTGGCCGGCTATATTATCCCTGAGTTAACCATAGGAGAAGAAGCTTCGAGGTAGCTCTTACATTATTCTTTATGTAAGCTCTCCCCTCATAAGAGGATAGTCTGAGGAGAGGAGAGAAAGAGTCTGTCCAAGTAAAGTAGCTGAGATGAATAACAAGGACCAGCCATGTGGATTTGGGAGCTTAGGGCCCGTGTAACAGGCTAAGTTACAATTCCTTCTAGATAAGGTATACTTAGAGCTTTCCAAGAAGGAATTAGCTCTATATCACACAGACAAACTCATGAGACCCTTGGAGAGGTGTTCATCTACACAAAGTCTCTGCATTTCCCTCTTACCACTGGAGTGACCATTATTTCCAGAAACTTTCTTTTGTTTGTTTAAACAGAGTCTCACTATATTGCCCAGGCTGGACTCAAACTCTGGATCCTGACTGCTGCTGTATGTCAGTGTCCCAAGAGCTGGGATCACACTACAGACCACCCAGTTTAACAATTGATTATTTAGGTCAACAGTTCGCAACCTGTGGGTTGTCCCTCCCCGGGGGTCACATATCAAATATCTTACATCTCAGATATATGCATTTTGGTTCATAAGAGTAGCAAAAATTAGAGTTCTGATGTAGCAATGAAAATAATTTTATGGTTGGGAGTCACCACAACATGAGGAACTGTATTAAAGGGTCACAGCATTTGGAAGGTTGAGAAGTACTGATTTAGATGCAACTGCTCAGACACATTCAGGATGGGATGGCCATAGACCATCTGATTATTTAGACAAGCTAAGAAAACAATCTGTTCTAGGAATGTATGGAAGCTTAAAAACAAAAATTCTAAAAGCATAAGGCCAGTAGCATTTTGTGAAGACTATTTTGATTAATTTTGAGTTTATTGGAACTAAATTGTAGAGTTGCCAAATAAAAGTTAAATACTGATTCAAGCTCCTTTTAGAACTTATAACGAGTCTGTGATCATACTGAATATTTGCAGTCCTGTTTTAAATATGGTAAAAAAAAAATTAAGAGTAAAACCCCAGATTCAATTTGCCCAGTGGATGCTGGCTTATAGATAGTCAAGACAGATGAATGTTTGATTTCATTGGTCTGTAAAGGACCGGGGCCACCTAACAGGCCCACTGCAAGAGTGGTCTTGAAGCACCTGTGAGCAGCGTGGGGCAGCTGACCTTTGTTTCTGGGCTCCCCTTCATCCGCAAGGAGCCAGAGGCCGATGCCATGTGCACTTTCTTCATGGCTCTTCTTGCCTCTGCTTCAAGCTTGGTTTCTGGCTTGGGATGGTCATGTTCTCCTTTCGACTAAAGAGAGGCAAAGTAGTAAAATATGAAACAAAACTTAGTAACTGGACTGCACTTCCCAGGATGTAGCTTCTGTCCCCTGTCCTGTCCTCTCCTGTGACCTGGCTTAGCAAGGCCACCTGCTGCGATGGAACTCTCCCCAAGCCTACTTGTGCTCCTGCCAGCCTCCGGGTCCTGTGAGACCTCACTCTTCCTTATGTGGTATCTGTCTCCCATCATGCACCCGCTGTGTGTGCCAGCCATGCTCATCTTCTCCCACTTAATCTTTGGCACAAGGCTTACAGATATACCATTATTATCACTCCTGTTGACAGAATAAGAAACTAAGGAGGCCTGGAGAAAAAAAATGTCATCTGGATAGCCTGTCTTAGTTAGTGGACCCCGGGATTTCCACAGCCAAGTTGGGAGCCCAGCGTGAAACATTCAGCCCTAGAGCGAGCTGGCATTAACTGGCTGTTAGCTGGAGTTCAGCCGTCCTGGGAACAGCTATGTCTCAGCTTGCCGAATGCTCCAGAGTAGGGCCATGTCTTCGGGAGAGCTGGTTCGTCACTCTTCCACGGATGGTCTGACCCCAGAGCCTACTCTTTACCTGTGTACATCCAGGCCCCACTAGTGTTTCTTCCAAAACTTGAAGAAAGGCGGGGTTTTACTGAGGAATCAGGTTGTTGCTGTGTACAGAGCTAGTGCTGAGTCAGCCCTGGCACTCAGGCTGCCAGCCAAGCTGAATGTTGTCTGCTCTAGTCTAGGGATGCTCAGCTAGGCATCATCTGTCCCCAGGAGTGGAGGCACATGGCCTTCCTGGGTTTCCAGTGCTCTATCTCTGGTGAAGTAGGGCATTGGGCGTTTGCTCTCCCAGAGACTGGCACAGTCCCATATACCCCTACACCCCGACCACGGATAAAATTCCTCCATAGAAAACACGATAGACACCTGCCACATGAAAGAGAAGGCGAGTGAATAACTCAAACCCAACCTGGAAAAATATGAAGCGTCCATCGTGCCTCCAGAAGTTGGTGACCGGAAAGCCCCCGTGGCCTCGGCAGGGAATAAGCTTCAGGGGACCATTGCAGTTGGGACAGCATTTCCCTGTAGAGGAATCCAGGAAAGAGCTGACTGAAGGGAGTCTGGGCTGCTCTGCTGGCTTTCGGCTTGGTTCCACGGTGGTGGAGAAGAACCCCACCCCCATCCCTGTCCCGCACAGTCTCGGGCTCTTCCCTCCACTGACTCTTACCCGTGACCAGCACTCTGTCTACCAATGGCCACCTGGGCTCACACATGGCTACTGTCAGCAGCTAGCTGCCTGACGTGTGGGATTATTTTACAGGTCAAAGCACTCTGCAGAGCAAAAGTTCCCCCTATACTAAGTACTCTATATAGGAAAGTATGTTATGGTTAGTAACTCAGATTGAAGGAGCAAAGCCACATGAGGGAGAAAGGGAACACTTGAACTATACAAATGACTGAGAGGAAGATTTAAAAACACATCACTATGAAGGAGCATGAGGTGACTGGAGGTGTAAAGTGGATTGGGCACAGGAAAACTGGGGGCACCTATTTCACAATCCCATGAGCATTTTATATATATATATATATACATATATATATATATATATATAGAGAGAGAGAGAGAGAGAGAGAGAGAGAGAGACAGAGACAGAGACAGAGATAACATCAAATATCTCCTCAGGTCATTTTGGCACAAACCTAAACAGACCAAGTTGAGCTTATCAATTTAGTCTTATTGTCCTGAAGACTATGCTCACTGGGATCTCCCCAGCACCCGGATGCCAGGCAGGAAGTCTGTGAACTAATTTCTCCTGAACTTTCCATGAGTCAATCTCTCTCTATAGTAATGGGGGCATTCATGAGGGAGGGAGGGGCTCTGCACATGGGAGGGCTTGTAGGCAGAGATTGTGGTGGGGGCTGGAGGGAATAGGTGTCTCCCTCTGAGAGTTCTTGTCAGATTGCCTTGACTATCACCTAATGCAGTGGGAGGGTTGGCTGCAGCATGTCCCCCCTGGCTGGAGCATCCGAGCAGGCTCCCGGCCTCCTTGCTGCAGCCCCCAAGCGTCACTCACTCTGCTGCTTCTGCCTGGCTTTGTCACAGATGGCCGGTCTCAGGTAGATCTTGCGGCCTTCCTCGGTGGAGCAGTCCCTGCCACACACCACCACCCCCAGGCATGACTTCTTGAGGATGCGGGAGTTGTGGTTGTTGGTGTTGCGCATGGCCCAGCTGCTCAAGTGGCGCTGTGCGTTCCTGTCCTCTGAGCTGTAGATGTGTTTCACGTAGGAGTCAGGCCACTCCTGGAACCAGTCAGTCTTTTTCACGTTCTGAGAGAAACAAAGGTTCCGTTACAATTTCATCCAGAAACCCACCCGTCCGTCTGCCTCAGTGGAATTAATAGATGTAAAAGATATCTGGGCCACGGGGGCAGAACTAAAGGCCTTTGGTAGACTTTAACTGAATTTAATCCTGGTGCTGGGATCTGTGAGCACAAATAGGGTATCTCAACCTTCCTAATGCTGCCACCTTTAATACAGTTCCTCACATTGTGGTGACCCCAACCATAAAATTATTTTTGTAGCTACTTCCTAACTATACTTTTGCTACTGTCATGAACATAATGTAAATAAATATACATGTTTTCTGATAGTGTTAGGGAACCTCTGTGAACAGGTCATTCGATTCCTAGAGGGGTCATGACCCACAGGTTAAGAACTATTGGAGGCAAAAATAGTGGTAAAGTGTCTGCTGTGTCTATCAAGCATTTGGTCTCTTGAAGCAAGATGAGAAAGAATTTAGCCCTTCTGGAGTCTTCTGTTTCTCCAGCTCTTGGTAACAACAGTAATGGCCATTTCTCAGCAAGAAGTTTTGAGGGTGACCTAATCTCACCATGCTCTTTCATAACAACCGTGGAAAGCACAGTGTCTTATACCATACTGGTTACCATACTGCAAATCATAAAGTCACCAGAGATGAGCAATGCAGAACTCTGGTTCAAAGAGGTCTGGAAACCCACTACTCCCTCCACCGACAGTTTCCCTGTTTTTCTCTACCCCTCAGACATGCAGAGGACTCAGGATGAGCTGGTGTGCTCACCCTGAGCTACCCTAATTCCCTGCATGGGAACATCTGACTGGACTCTGCTGTGCAAGGTCAGAGCTGTGGTTCAGCAGGTCTCGACTTCCAGTTCAGCAAGAGATACAGCTCCAGATACAGCAACATGTGGGGGCAGCTTCTCCGGTGCTGACAAAGTAATTGTGGCAGCAGATGTCATGTTACAGTTTGAACCATGATAAAATCACATTAGAAAGGACCTTAGAGCACACACAAGCCACTTTGTTTTCTGTTCTGTTGCTGCTTGTGTAAAACAGGAATGATGAGACTCTCCTACTTCCTGAGTTCTGAGGATTAAATGGTATGCATGCAAAACATTTGTCACAGCATCTAGCAAGCTGTAATTAAACAATGTTGCTGGGTATGGCTCATTTCCCCAGGCCCTACAAAGGCGATTGATGCAGCAATGGCAGATCCTGCCTAGCACTTAGAATGAGAATCACCCTAGCATGACTCTATGCCCATCACCGTGATTCAGAGACCTGACACAAAAATAAGAACAGTTTTCATTTAGATGATTCTCAAAGTCATGGAAAACCCAGAAAGAGAAATCAAGGTACCAACCCTTTGCTTTCCCAAAAAGAATATACAATACAGACTATAAATTAGCAAAACCAAGAAAAGTCTGGAGTGAGATGGAGACAAGCACCAGTGCCAGGATGTGTGAGCATCCTCCCCCGCCCCAACCTGGGTTACCGCAAGACCTGTGCTGCTGGAGGCACCCAAGATCTAGCAGGCAGCTGCAGCACCCCCTATTGGAAAGCACAGCCAAGGGAGATTTGCCTGACTGCCTACTGTTTCTTGGGGACTGTGGCCTTGATGTGGTTCAGTGTCCACATGAGAAGCCGCCTGACACCTCAACACCCGTAGTCTCTTGCTTTTTCCTGCTGACTGAAATGGAAACCATTGCTTTCCAGCTTCCCATCACAGAAAAGCCTAGCCGAATATTTTAGTTCACTTTTAAAAGGTTTGTTTTACTTTTTGATTTTATGTGTTTGTGTGGAGAGAGGTGTGTGCATGTGAGTGCAGATTCCAAGTGAACTGAACTCCTGTCCTCTGCAAGAGCAGTAAGCACTCTTAACCTCTGAGCCGCCACTCCAGCACCAAGAAGTTTACTCTTGAAATAATTAAAATGCAGATTAAAAACACTAAAATATACATTTACCTTTAATCATTTTAACTATAAAGAACTGGTGGATTTGATATGTATTATTCTAATAGGACACAAGGGTATCAAGATAAAGACAGACAACGGGGTCAGACATATAGAAGAAAACAGGGATTTCTATGCCAGTGTCACACCCACTCCCTCCAGACACGGTCAGAACTACAAATCCCATAAGCCCGAAGTGAAAAGTATCCACCAGAGCCCCTCAGATGTTCTGACCGAACACTTCTTGTGTGTGGAGGAGAAAGTGGGGACTCTCAACACCTTCAAAGTTACTTCTTCCCAAATGTCACCCCATGACATCCTAGTTTTCTAGTTCCCTTAATAAGGCAGTAGTGTATGAAGTGAAGAAACTATTGGAAGAAAATGTGAACACATGAAGCTCCTCTCTTGTCCATTGTTTATTTATTCTGTCATTTGCCTGGACTTTTGGTGGAATCTTTGGCAACTTTTTATATTAAAATTGGGATGATGGTGGATCCCGATGTCCAAGAACGGAAGGAGCAGGGGAGGGCATTTCTGAAAATCCATGTAATTTGCCACCAGGAATATAAAGTTTTAAAACCAAGACCAGTGGTTCTTGACCTTGCTAGCAATTCCCAGAAAAAAAAAAAAAAAAAAAGCTCCCTTCTTTTTAGAACCTTTGTTAATTTAATTTCTAACTTTTCATAAAACACTTTCTTCTTTTTAAACACTCTGTTTACTTTAATTTCTAACTTTTCATGAGTAACTCTTTGTTTTTGCTCTTGGTTAAGAAGTTTATAATTGAAAGGGAATATCTTTTAGCTTCCCCAACATGTCAGCTCTAACAAACTTACATTTCAGCATTTCTTGGGTAGCATCATTAGGAATTTAATTGACATTTCTAGGACTTCTCCATACTTTTGTTACAAAGAAATTTAATCCTGTAATTTACTCAGTGCTTTTTAGCTATATGAGAACACAAGAACACTCTTTATATGACCTTCATTTTAATTTAATTTAATCATTTGAAGTTTTAATAGGCTAGCATAAAAATTATATATTACTATTATATAAAATGAACAAAATAAAATTCTTAAATAAGGTATCAAAATGTTTACATTAAGCCAGGCAGTGATGGCCCAAGCCTTTAATTCCAGCAGTACTGGGGAGGCAGAGGCAGTGGATCTCTGTAAGTTTGAGGCCAGCCTGGTCTACAGAGTAAGTTCCAGGACAGCCAGGGCTACACAGAGAAACCCTGTTTCAAAAAACAAAACAAAACAAAACAAAAATTCTAATTAAGCAAGATGAGGTTGTTTTTGCCTGTATTTCTAGTGGCTGGAAAGCTGAGGTCTGAGGATTGTTTCTAGGCTAAGGCTAGCCTGGGTTATATGGAGAGATCATCTCAAAAAACAAAAAGAAAGTTAAAAAAAAAAAAAGCAAGGCCAAAATTTTACATCATGTTATTACATTCTTAGTACAGTCTTCTCTTGTATAAAGCAATTGTCTTCCAACATAAATAGCTTAATACTTATTAACCCCTTACCTTAAGTATCTCCAGTATCAAACACACCAAAAAAAAAAAAAAAAAAAAAAAAAAAAAAAAAGTAAACAAGGACTCGTCTAATTATTATGTAGCCAAGGCTAGTCTTATGCTAGGATCACAAGAATACAACATTATACTCATACCCAGCTTTTCAGACACTTTAAGAGAATCAGGTGAAAGAATAATTATGCTACTTAATAAAAACGAAACAAAAATATGTCAGGTGTAGAGGCACACAGCCTTAATCCTAGCACCCAGGAGGCAGAGGTAGGCAGATCCCTATGAGTTCAAGGCCATCCTGGTCTATATAGCAAGTTCCAGGCCAACCAAGGTTACATAGTGAAACCCTGTAACAACAACACCAACACCAACAAAACAAAAACAAAAACAAAAACAAAAAAAAAAAAAAAAAAAAAGAAAGAAAGAAAGTAAATATACTGCCATTTGGACCCTACAGATAAGTTTTTGGAGGGAATCTGCCTCTTCTGGGCTAGCTAAGATGGATGGAATTCTAAATGTCACAAAGAGTCAAAAAATGTCTTTGCATCAGGAATTGCTAGTAATTCTGCTACTTCCCACTGAAGAATGAAGTTCCACATTGCTAGTTCCTCCAGCATTCTTGCTTTCTTTCGTTTCCAACTCCTCTTTCTTCTCCCTCTCCTTTCCCACTCCCACCACTCAAGCAAAGGATATGTGATGGGTGAGAGTTTGTCATCATAGATGCAGGAATGTTCCCACCACCATCACACCAGAAGCTCTGGTGGTAGAACCCCAGACCTAATGACAAGGGCTCAGATAATCACGGGTGGAGCTGTCTCAGGAGAGCTTGAAATACTTGGGGTCAAGTAGCAGGTGGAAAGAAATGGTGAAGTTATAGATGTCAGAATGAGAAACAACATAACCTCGGTGTGAAGGCCAATAGTAATTGATGAAGAATCCAGAATCAGGTTTGCCTATTACCTCTCCAGCCCTCAGCATGTCTGAGTGCTTGTGATCATATGCAGGCACCTGAATCTACAGAGTTCAGACAGCCATGATTAGGGCTCATCCTCTGTGGAGGCAGAAGAAATTTTACTGACTAAAATCTTGATCCAGCCATGAGCTAATTGGAGCTATAGCTCCTTTACTTTCAACTCCACAGTTTAAAAGAATGTTTTCTCTATTGAGAAAATGAAATGGACTCAAGGCTTGGAACTGGGTGGACAGTACAGCTCAGTGACAGTGTACTTAACTAGTGTGCATGGAGCCCTGTAGAGGCCTACAGTACTACAAATCAAAACGAAATTAGCTAGGCACCGTGATCTTGAATTTGTGGCCACACTGAGCTACATAATGGATTCAAGTACAGCCTTGGCTACACAATGAGATCTAGCCTCAAAACAACAAACAAACAACAGTAAAAACAACCATGTTGGAATTGTGTGAGTAGATGTTTTAGTGTTGTTTTGGCCATGGGTTTGACCTGACAACTGCCCAGTGTTCTGGAATAAAATGATTGAGGTGTCTGTGATGTTAATGGAACAACCCTTCTTCGGCGTAGGAAAGCCAGTGCCTGAGAGAATGGTGAGTTGTCTGTTCCCTGGGAAATGAATACTGTTTAGTACAAAAGGGCATTATGGAGTGTCTCCTCAATATTCAGCAAAAAAAAAAAAAAAAAAAAAAAAAGTTACAATTTTGTTTCTCAACTGTCATAGAATGTATGATGAGTTTAAGATTCTCTGGGACCACATAATCCATCTCTGAGTGAAAGTAAGATGAGACCAATACCAGACATTTGCTGCTTGGATCATGCAAACTCTACAGTGACTAATTTTGCAGGTGCAAATGTAATTAAGGGGAATAGAACAGGAAAGTGCAAACAGTCTAGTGCACTAGCCTAGAATAAGACTTCCATCCATGACAGTGTAGTCAGGTGCCTGTGCTTCGGGCTGACACCATAGGGGATGTATTAGGGGATATGGAAACCTGGACACGTGGGCTCACAACGGTAACCTCACCACTCAGGGGGCAGAAGTCACCAGTTCCAGGCTAGACTGGTCTACGATATGACCTCCAGACCGGCGAGGCATAGCTATACAGTTCCATTTAGCTGGAAGGCTGAGGCGGGAGAACTTCTATGAGTTCAAGGCCAGCCTAAGCTACATAGTGAATTCTAGCCCATTCCAGAGTAAGACCATGTCTTTAAAAAAAAAAAAAAAAAAAACTAATAGAGCTAGAGAGATGGTTCAGTGATTAAGAACTCTTGTTGCTCTTCCAGAGGAACTGGGTTCAATTCCCAACACCTGCATGGCAGCTCACTACTGACTGGAACTCCAGTTCCAGAGTATCTGTAGCCCCCTTTTGGCCTCCGAGGGCATCAGGCATTCACATAGTACACAGACATACACACAGGTAAAACACTCATACACATTAAAAGAAAGAAAGAAAGGGGGGAGGAAGAAAGAGAAAAAGCTAAATAAACATAAACAAATGAATGAAACCATCCAGCAGGCCCAGGCTGACAATTCTAGAATCCTTGGCTATCAGAATCAATAAATAGGAACAGAAGAGACCACTGCATGCTGTAGCAGAATTTTCAGAGGAGGAAAAGGAATTTGAGGAAAGGCAAATAATTCTCAGAAGCCCTACAAGTAGAAAGAGGCACAGCTGGGACTCAAGTCCAGGGCTGGTATCTCTAGGTCCTCAGTTTCTCATTAGGTACCCTCTGCCTTCAGGTTGCTCTGAAACACACAACCCCCATTGACCTGTAGATACGACTCCAGAGTTGGAATAAACCCAGATCTGCATAGGGTTGTATCTGCTTAGACCATACTAAAGGATGTTTGCATTTTTAATTATTGCCCCAAGTTTTACAGTTTTTCTATAAGCAAGCTTTCACCTGTTCAATAACTGCAAAGGGTCTATTTCCAGAGCAAGGGTGGACGACTTTGCCGTGGATGTCCCTGCGTGGGGGCACAAAGAGTCAGGAAGGCTTTGGAGTTTGAAAATTCATGCTTGAATAAGAGCTTCTGGGCCCTGAGTTTCCTTCCGGGGAAGCTGTTCTTTCTCTTCCATTTATGGATTTTGTGGCCAGGAAAATTGCATGTTTTTTTTTTGTTTGTTTATTTGCTTTGTTTTTTTATTTGTTTGTTTGTTTTTTCCTTTCTTTTTAAGTCCAGTCTCAGACTTGTGGTGATTCCCCTACTTCTTCCTCCTGTGTGGCGGGGTTATAGGCATGCACCAGCACACCAGGGAAAAATGCATGTCAGTACACACGTTGCCCTGCCCGCCAGTTTCAAGTCCTTCCATAGCTGCTGACCTCAGCTCTAGATATTATCTTCAGCTCATATTTTGGGGTTGCAAGCATGAAATTAAAAATGGGGAGAAATATGGGCCATTGAGCCCACAGCAATTAAAATAGACTCTAAAGCCTCCCTCAAACAGCCACAGCAATTAAGAACAAATAGACACTCCTGCCAAAAGGGGGAGAAGGGTGTTTGCCTGGCTTAGCCACGGCTAATTTGCCCCCTTGAGTGAATGAATAGGTATATTTTCTGTCTTCCAGCTTTCTCAACGCCCTCCAAAGGAGACCTCAGGGGGAAATTAAGAAAAGACAAAGAAGCAAAAGGAAATGTCCATTAGAGTGAGAACCAGAAGGGTTCTGAGCTGAGATTGGAGTCCCCAAGCCCTCTGCCCAGCTTGCTCCCCAGGATCAGACAGACATTTGGTACTAGAGAACTCCGGGCTTAGTGTGCAGTCACCTTTTCAAACACTGACCAGACAAAGTATCTTTAAACACCAGGAAGAGAGGACAAGATAGTCAAGGATGATAAACTGGAAAACTTGGTTTTAATTAATGCTTTCCATAGAATTAGAGTTCAAAGGTCAGTTGCTAGTTGGGCCTGTGACCCCAGCATTTGGAAAGCAGAAACAAGAGGGCTGTGAGTTTGGGGCAAGTGTGAGCTCCTTTGGGGATTTAAGGCTAATTTAGGCTGCTGAGTAAGACCTAGTCTCTCTCTCTCTCTCTCTCTCTCTCTCTAGGTCTTTGTCTTTCTTTCATAACACACACACACACACACACACACACACACACACACCAGCATTTGCCATAGAGGAGGCCAGACATAGTATGAAAAGCAAAGCACTCCTGGGCAGAGCAGTAGCCACCCAGTGAGCCCACGGGTGGGGTTTTCTTCAGTCCCTCAAGAGTAGCTGTGTTGCCCAGGGCACCACTGTTCAGATAGTCCAGCTTCAGGTTAACTGTTAAAAGTACTATGGCAAAGAAGGTGCTATGGGGTTTTATGTGTTACGAGGAGTCAGTCCACTAGCAAGTGCTGCGAACTGTGTGCTAACCCAAGCGAGCCAGCTTTGAATGGGAGGAAGCAGCCGTTTCTTTGTCGCTATCCCTGGGGTATCTGGAAAATAAAGAGGTGCCCAGATCTTAGGCCGTACATCTCCCCTTGAAACACCTCAGTTGGCTGTATGGTTGAAACTCTGAAGTAGTTAACCCAGCTATGACCTCATAGGTTCCCTTCTAGAAGCCGGTAGGTTAATTGTCAGACTGCAGAGCTACATGCTGGGGGCAGTCCTGCAGGCACATACCTGTGGCAGTTTCATGTCGTTAATGTCCCAGCTCAGTATCTCTTTATCTTCAGGATCAAAGTCGTCCGGTTCCATGGTAAGGTCGGGTCACCACAGGCTTCCCTCTACTCAGCTTCTCAGAGGTTTGCGAGAACACTCTCACTCTCCAGCCGGTGTCTGGACGCACAATCAGCTCCGGGGCTTGGTTTCCAAAGCTAAGAAAATAAGCGATAGCAACACTGATGATTTAAGAGATTAAAAGCTTTGAAGTCAGATATGGTGGCTCATACCCCAGAGTCTGAGGCAAGAAGACAGCCATGAGTTCAGGGCCAGCCTGAGTGAGACTGTCAAAAGAGGGTGGCGGTGGCTTGACAGGTGAAGGTGTTTGCTACCAATCCCAGAAGATCTTATCTCAGTCCCTGGAACCCACGTGGCAGAAGGAGAAAACCAACTCCCAAGAGTTGTACTCTGATCTCTGTACAAGTGCACATGCACTAATAAATATTAATAAAATAAAAAAGCAAAGTAAAACAATACCAAAAAAAAAAAAATCCATTTATCACCCGCCCGCCAGAAATAGCAATGCCATTGACGTTTTTTTGCAAGTACCAACTGCTCATGAAAAACAAGCCGCAGAAGTCACCAGGCTTGCTACGGAAGACTTGCCTGGGTTCCGAGACACTGGTCACAGCTTGTACCTTCAGGTTTGACCCTCCTTCCTCACCTCATAGCTAAGCACCTGGTTCTGAGAGCATTTGGAGCCATTATTGCCTGGCGCCAATGGATCAAACCTATTTCTACCCAAATTATGTAAATTTACCTAAAGATACGAAGTGAACCTAGGATTTATCCCATAGCAATTTGGATTAACGAATATGTTCATGGATAAATCCCTGTCCTGCTCCTCACCTTTCCAAGATCAGCTACAGCCCTGTGGTAACAGGCCCCAAGAAACATGAAGTCCCTTCCCCCTCTCGAATGCCGGCATTCAAGACTAAATACTTGAGAGGGTTTCTGTCCTGCTTGCTTTTGTTTCTGTGATGAAGGTTGACACCTAGGCCTTGTGTTGCACCGCTGAGCCCCAGCCACGGTTCATAGCCCAAACTTCTGAGTATATTTCTACGTTTAGGAAGTAATCATTGAACTGCTGAATAAAAATCGTTGGCACCTTAATTGAGACAGCTTCAGTGACAAAATCCAGAAGATGTAAACATTAAGTCGCAGTTACAACTGTAACTCTGCTAGACCAAAGTTGGTCATAGCTAATTAGAACAGATATGATCCACAGCACACTTTACACAAAACAGAACAGAAAAAAAAAATACAAATAAATAAAAAACCTTTGGAAAACAAGATCAATATTATGAAAACCTACAAATGCTGCACTAGATACTTGCTTTTAAATTAAGAGAAGGGGAATAGAATTTTTACTCTAAAGGTTTACAGTAATTTTTAACACCCTTCTCTAACTGGGTGGTGGTGGCTCATGCCTTTAATCCCAGCACTGGGGAGGCAGAGGCAGGAAGATTTCTGAGTTCGGGGCCAGCCTGATCTATAAGAGTGAGAGAGTTACAGGACAGGCTCCAAAGAGAAACCCTGTCATGAAAGAACAAAACAAAACAAACACATTAAGAAAAAAAGCACCCTTCCCCATACACTTTTACAGAGTCAGTATTAATATAGTATTTCCCTAAAAAATTAAGAACAAAACACAGAAAAAACTGCTTTATCCCTTCAATAAGTAAACTCAGTCTTTCCCCAGGATTAAATTTTTTTTAAAAAATCTAAATTTTTAAAGATTTCCTTTTTTTTTTTTTTTTTTTTTCAGTGTCATGACCAAAGCATGTTCAGCTTTCATCATTTTTACAGACCCAGGACTAGAACAAATGAAGCCCGTGGCTATGAGTCACTTACACTTTCCACCCTCAGCGCTCCTGAGTCCTTCCTTCAGGGTTCTTGTCCAGGTGTCACACCAGTTCAGCTCTGGTTCAGGTCCTGCAGGCTCTGGTCATTTCTGAGAGGACGCAGTTCCCTAATCCAGGTCAGGGTACACTATGCTAATGACTCTGGCAACCGTCCAATCAAAATCAAGATTCTTTCAGCCAGGGGCAGGTGGGAGCAGCCCATCTCTTCTCAGGGTGCCAGCCATGTGACGAATATTCTATGGCGTGCTTCTGAACTTTCCCCTCCTTTATTTAAGAGGATGTCTAACTAAAGGAGATGGTAGTGAGGAGGGGGAAAGCCCTGGGAAAATGTACAGATTTCTTTTTTTCTGGTATTTTTACAGGTCAAGTCCAAGAGCAGCCAATTCACAGTTACTGTACTTTCCCACCATTTGTCCTGTCTGAGAGAGAGAAGGCAGACACAGAGATGCTCCGTGGTGGAGACAACTGGTGATGGCAGAAATCGCTGGAATAGTTTTTGGTCAGCTAACAGTCCCTAAATCAGAAACAATGAACACTGTCCAACCACCCTAATTCTTCCTTGCAATGAATTCAATTCTTCCTCAAGATGTCCTCACTAGAGACACCCTCTGGGCACCAGGTCTGCTCAGCTCCTCCCCTGTGTCTCTGGGTCGTCTTCAGGGCTCTGGAAACACAAAGAAGAATCGTGGAAGACATCAAGAAGTTCTGTGTAGCTCAGGGTGCTGGTGCAGGGCTGTAACAGAGAGTGTCTCTGTGAGTTCAAGGCCAGCCTGGGCTAGACAGCAGGCCTCTCTCTTTAAAGAATCTTTTCCCACTGCCATGTCTGAACCTGATCCATCTTTCAGGACTTCTAACATGCCCTTCCAATTGGTGCCTTCCAACACTGTTCTAAAACACGACGTGGCTTCTCATTTCTTCCAGAACTCCTAACTAGATCACTTAGCACTAACATTTTTATTTCAAAATAAAGTCAACACTTTTTTTTTTTTTTGGTCATTGTTGCTAATTTATATTGCAAACTTCCAGGATTTCACGCTACCATATTCTGGTCATGTCTTCCCAAACTCTTGCTTTTTTTTGGTTTTTTTTTTTTTTTTTTGTTTTTGTTTTTGTTTTCTCTGTATTTACCAGATGTCGATGCTTTCCTGATTCTAATCCTGTTTGAGGTGTGGCCTCTCCTTGTCAGCAGGGATCTATCCTGGCATCCTCTGCTCCAAGCTGAGGTTGTCTTTTCCTTTTCTTCACAGGAAGCCCTGCTGGGTCCCAGGGGCAGCGCCACAGCCATCCCTGTCCCAAGCTCCAGTCCTACTGGTGACATCAGAGTGAGCTCTCTATCCTAAGGATGAGATTTCAACTTTCAAATCCTGACCTCTGTTTACTGGCTCTGTTCATTCTTTTTTTTTTTTTTTTTTTTTTTTTTTTTGTTCGTTTTTTGAGACAGGGTGTGCCTCATATGGAACAGACTGGTCTCAAACTTACTATGTAGCAGAAATTTTCTGTAAACTTGGTGGGAAACTACAGTAACTGTGAATTGGCAGCTCCTGGACTTGACCTATAAAACTACCAGAAAACAAGGAGCTTCCGATGGGGCCACGGACCTTAAATCCCAGCACTCAGGAGGTAGAGGCAGTTGGATCTCTGTGAGTTTGAGGCCAGCCTGGTCTCACAGAGCGAGTTCCAGGACAGGCCCCAAAGCTACAGAGAAACGTGATTGGAAAAAACAAAACAAACAAACAAAATAAACAAACTCCTGGCTCCCCTTGCCTCCTTCATCTCCCAACTGTTAGCATTACAGGGAGCAGCATGCACAGTGTGTTAATGTGACTGATAGCAACAGTAACCATAGTAACTTCCCTTGACTGAGCTCTCGCAATGAATCAGATGCCATGCTGAGCATTTCCCTAAATTGCACTTGGTACAGCATCTCTACCAGCCCCCTACTATGCCTCCTTCGAAGGCATGGCCACCATGCTCGGCTAGGTACTACTCTTACATGTCTTACTCACAAAGAAGAAAATCAAGCCTCAGAGAAACAAAACTGCACAGCCAAGTATCCTGGGGCAGAACTGCGGGGGACTCTGATAGGCCAGGCATCCTGCGATCTTTGTTTCAGCCTTTGTGCAGGCAGAAGTCTCTGTGTCCCTTTCCCATTTCTGTCCCCTCCCTGGACACGGGACCCGCCTTAAGCCATGTGGCTGGAAGCCCACTTGTGGAGTAGTTGACTTAAACCATTGACGTTTCCTTCCTCTCACTGACCCTGCCAGTCTATTGGGAGTTTTCTGCTTTTTTCCCTGGGTGTAATAATAATGCTTTAGGCATTTAGGTGGGATAACTTTAGTTTGCGTGGGACTGTCTTGTGCATGGAATCTTAGACATTACATCCCAGCAGCATCCCACTCTTGGCGACTGTCATAACCCATGTGTCAGCCATGTTCTCAACAGTCAGCTAAGGAAAGGGAGAGAGCCATATTATGCTGCCTCACTTTGTTTCAGGACCTCTTTGCCACTCTCGGTATTGATGGCTCTGCCTAGCTATGGCTTCTGGTTTCTACTTAGTGTGTGGACTTCTTCCTGAGTCTAATTCTCTACTTTTGACATCCTTGGTCTCTTTATTGAGAAGGCTTATCAACACTCATTGTGTGTTAGGTATCATACCCAACGTTTAGCCCTTACAACTGCCTCAGTTAATAGATAATCAAGCTATATTAGTTGGAATTATAAAGAAGATATTTAAAGTAAGGCCCAAGAAGGATCAGAGGGTTAATTTTTATAAGATCATTTTAAGTAGCCATTTTTTTTTTAAAATCCCAAAGCACCAGTCAAAGGAGAAGGGTGATGTTAAAAAATATTTCCTTGTCTATGGAACAAAACTGCCTGTCATTCAGGTTCCTTCTGGGACCAGCATTCCCTTGCCTTCTTACCTTACCATCTTTTAGAAACCTGCCTCCCCCCTGAGGCTATCTGTTAGAACTCTTTGTCCCTTCTGGCATGGAACCCAGCCTGACCAAGCTTTTCCCTGGAATTTTCCAAATTAGAGATGGAGAAGGTAAGTCTTTCATCTCAGATGCCAAATGGAAGGTTGACCTCAGACCTTGTGATGAGCATCTCTGCCACGCAGCAGAATCTAAGACGACAGAGCCAGTCAGAAGAGAGGGGTGGCTAGGAGGGGAACAGAGAGCCTGGACCCAGCCTGAGGCCAGCCAAGTCCTCAAGCATGCCACAGGTGACACAATAAATGTCTTGCATACTTTTAATCCTTAGATCTAGGTTTTTCAACATACACCTGAAAGAGATCTATCTATAAACACACCCCCAGCTCCTAGTCCAGGAGCCTGGAGCTCACCCTTGCTTCTAAACAAACCATACTCCTTTGTCATTGCAAGTCTAAAAGTGAGGCTGGAAGAGGTTTTCTAAGGTCCCTTAATATTAGGAAAGGCTTTATGAAGTCTCACTCAAACTCAATGTGAAGGACCACACTGCCAGCCCCATAGATGCTCAGCTTCTGCTGGTCCAGAAAGAATCGAGGGATGGCCCAAAGATCCATCTTCTGCAATGTGCAAAACTTCCCTCCAGTAAAATTGTAAAATAAAAGAGAGAGAAAAAAAAACCCAAAACCAAAACACCACAGGCATGGTGCCACACACCTGAAATCCCAGTACTCTGGGAGATGGAAGCAGGAGGATCAGAAGTTCAGGGTTACCCTTGACTTCATGTCAAGTTTGAGGCTAGCCTAGACTATGTGAAATTCTGTCTCAAAACAAACAAGCAAACCAAAAACGGTAAAGGCTCAAAAGTAATTAGTTATAACTGAAAACCCTATCTACAAATTGACAATTTGTATCACTCACCAATAGACTGAATGTTTTTTTAGTTGGCTCTGAAATGTCTTTAAATTATATTCTAATACAACAAAAAAGCCAGGTTGTCTTATAACAGTCTGTCTGAAAAGCTATCCAAGTACTTGGGGGATTTATCCTGTCCGGGAATTCTTAGAGGCAAGAATTGACGCCAATCATCCTTTAAAAGTTAACCTTCAAATACTGTTCTGCAGTTTTCTTTGGTTGGAAGTATTTGAACTCAGTAGTACTGCCAGGTAAGGATTGTCTTCAGTGCATTTTGGAAAGCAACTGTCTTTAGTTTATGCAACGTATCTAGCAAGAATTATGCAATGCAAGAGGACACACCCTTCTCTTTCAAACTTCATGTTTGGGCTCTTCACCATCCCTCAATCCACTCTAGCAAAATGGAAGGGAAATCCCTACAGGGATTTACTTCTCTTAAAAGAAAGCCCAGGACCTATGAGAATGCTCAGTGAGTAAAGTGCTTGCTGCCAACTCTGACAGCCCAAGTTCAAACCCCAAAACATGGTGGAATTGACTCCCCCAAGTTATTCTCTGGCCTGTACTCATGATTGTGACATACACACACAGGCATGGACACACATGGACACACACACACACACACACACACACTTATATATAAACATTTTTCAAAAGAGAAACTGATAATTTTTTTCAGGTTAAAAATAGTTGAACTTGCTGAAGATTAAAAACAAACAAAACAAAAAACCCCAAAACCTCTATTCTTCAACTCTTCACCATTTGCAGCGTTGAGAGCATAATTTGTGGTTATTTATTTGTGGGTAGTTGAATACAATTGACCAGCTAAAATTTTTGTTTGTTTGTTTGTTTTTTGAGACTGTCTCTCTGTGTAGTCCTGGTTGCCCTGGAACTCCCTCTATAAAGCAGGCTGGCCTGGAACTCACAGAGATCCATCTACCTGCCTCTGCCTTGTAAGTGCTGAAATTAAAGGTGTATATCATCTGCCTGGGCAGTCAGCTAAAATTATCAGGTCCATGTACTTCCTAAGTTAAAAAGCAAAACAAAACAGAAAATAGTTGTGTTAGTGAACTAACTTTCAGGCAAAGAAGATACTACCCTGAATATTGTTTGTAAAAGATGGCCCATCCCTTAGGAACCAAGGGGAGAGGTGACTGCCCTGTGCTCTGAGCACATTGCTGGCTTCATCTGAGATGGTCTCATTTCACTTGCTGTACCAATTTTGACATAACTCTAGGAATACAAACTCAGGACAAGGAGGGGATGAGAGGACAGGAGAGAGAGGGAACTGGGATTGGTATGGAAAATAAGACTGCTTTTAACTTAAATTTAAAAAGTTTAAAATAAG